GATTTTTGTTGGGGAGTAACACCCTTCTTAATCAGGTACATTTGACTCTCTTTTATCTCAGGAATCTTTGTCTGGCTCCTTTCATCCACTAAAGTCCTTTGGTGGAGTAACTTATTCTCTGGAGACATGGGTTGAAGCCAGGAGTCAACATTCTTTCTTGTCTTCCATCTCTACAGAGCCCCTTCATTTCTCATTATAGTCTCCTGTCCTTCTACATATTTTCCTCTTCCTGTATCTTCCTACCATTCACATGCTTCTACCTGTTCTTCCTTTGTGCATGGTTCTTGACACTGACAATCTCATTGGTGTCTATTCTACAGGTTCAGGGCCAGTAGAAGTCCATTTGGCCTAGTTTGCTGATCTAAGGCTCCCATTTGTGGCCAACTGTTACATATTACAAGTTTATCAGAGGGTATTACTCTTAATTTTTTCTTCTCCATCATCTCATGTTTTCATTCCCTTTCCTCTTTCACAGATTCCAGCATCTTACTGGAATTTTTCAATGTGGTTACAGGCATGGGTTTTTCATTTTTTTCCAGGATTTAAAATGTGTCCCACCAGGTTTCTTAGGAATACTCTACTACTTTTTAGGGAGGCAGCTCTTTTTGGTTGGTGGGTTGGAGATGTCTCACATCATACTCACCTAGTATCTGGTTCACTTTGGTGTGTTCTTCATTACTCATCTCTGCAGAGCTCAGCCTTCTCTGCTTTGTTGGTGGTCCATGGTAAGTTTGGTTTTCACAGCTCTATATTCTCTGTCTCTTATTCAGATTCATTTTGCACAGGTCCCTCCACCATTCAGCATGGGATTCTAGTTATAAGTAAGTGGAGGATACTTATTACATCGGAAGTTAACCTTTTTCCAACACTGGAAATGTTTTTCTAATAGATACCTCCACTCACACTTCCTACCCTACCTCTCCAATTTCAGTGCATCTTTTCTTACTTGATCTCAAAGTGATGACTGAACAATCATGCACTAAGTCACATGCACTAAGAGGTTGTGTTGCACTCCTATTGGTGTAGCGTTGTCACATGCTCATTTGCATGCAACAATATCACATGGAATCCCTTAAATTTAAGTGGAAGATTCAAGGCTAGTGGTGAGCTAAAAAATTTGCATACAGAGGGCAGCAATGAATCCCAAAACCTATGTGAGAAGTCGTATGTATCAGAAATCCATTTTCAGTGTTGGAAAATGTTAACGTTCACATCTTAAAGATGAGTTAAACTGATTCACTTGTTCCAGAAAGACCTAACTGGAAAATTATTCATGTTATATTTTTGCAGATAATGTTAGCAAATCATACCTCATGCCATTCTAGGGAGAAGCCATGTTCTATTTAAGTTCAATCTCTGAAATAATTTATAGCATACTGAGCTTCAACAATGAATATGTTGGGTGTCTAATGACTTGAAAAATGCATTTACACAACGATTAAAATTCATACAGTTAATTTAGAAGTTATGGTATTTTCAGGTCAAAAACTTCTAATTTCCCAACATATATCAGATACATGGCTCTGTTGTTAAGTATAGATTTGGTTTGTTTTGAATTTTGCACAAAACTACACAAAGGCTATATGTGCTAGCTGTCCCTAATTTAACAGAGATAAACTAGAGGGAAGGTAGCTTGTCAATACCGCTTACCACCAACTCTTGGGCTACTCTTTTACCAATGAATAGTGGGATTGACCATCACATTATAATGCCCCCATGGCTGCAAGAATGAGCATAATTGGGCACATGGATTCGAACCTGCAATCCTCAGCTTCCAAGTTGAGCACCCTAACCTCCAGGCTTATTAAATATAGAATAGTTTAGAAAATAAGGAAAGTCATTCTGATCAGATAACTGAGTCTTCCTAGTGTTGTAAAATAAATTGGACAAAATTTTAAAAAAATAAAAATGAAATGAGTATATGTACTTGTACACATGAAAGACAGCTGCTTTTGCTAAGCTGTGCTTAATCCCTTAGTTTTAATTTATTTGCAATTGATCTCTGTAGAATTAAACACAATGAACATCCAACCACATAAGTAGTGATGATAATTTGTTATGAAAATAACTGCAAAAAACTCTTCCTTCATTATACAGTTATCTGTTCTCTGTAGCCATGAGAGTATAACTAGCATACACAATAACATGCTCTAATCCATCCTGCAACTGCAATAACACTACTCTAACTCCATTGTTTCTGGTGTCAGAGTCCAAGAAAAACTCACAGTTTTGGCATGGCTAAGTCTGTACTGGAACATCCATCAAAGCAAATATAGAGATTGAAATGCCTCATCAAATACCTCACTTCAAAGTGCACTTCCATCAGTGTGAGAACTGACAAAGGTGCTGCTATTTTTGAAGAAGTTAGCCACAAATTATGAATAATATGACACAAAACCAAGGAAATTGTCACAAAGAAATACTACCTCATCTTCATGAGTGAACACTTCCCTGATTTTAGTTTTATGCCTGCCTTTCGTATGTGCATCTTTATTTTCTTAGACATGGAATTGAAATTGTGGCCAAATACCAATACACAGTCTTCAACTCACCAATCCATTCCAGCTAACCTGAGTGTTCCACACTACCCATTTACCAGGATTAAACTCTCAGGGGTACCTATTTGGTTGAATGATCTGAGTGCTATAGACACAAGTAAATCTCCTTGAGTGAAAGCTGATTGATGTCATAGACCTTCACAGTAACAGTAAAAGTCTTATGTTCAGAACAGGTCTTCACCCAGACTCAACATTTCTCCCACACAACCATCTCTCTCAGTTAATAAACTCTCCTTCTCAATCATGGGCACTTCTACACACAGAAAATGCAATTGTTTTTGTGTTTGTTTGTGTGAAGTTAAGCACAAAGCTACACAATAGGCTAACTGTGCTCTTCTCACCACAGGTATGGAAACATGGTTTTTAGTGTTGTAAGTCCATAGACATACCGCTGTGCCACTGGGGAGCATTTGTGTTTGTGAGAAGCATTTCTATAAACTCAGAGTTCAAACAAAGGCTAATATGCACATTATCATGTCAGAAACTCTGCAATAAATCCTGATGACACAGCATCAAACCTTATCCTTCTTTTCTACTTGTGGTAATTTCAGATATATAAAACTACTAACTTACCAACAAGTATCAGAAACAGATCTGCCAATAACTAAAGGAAAGGAGGAGAGTAATTCTAATCAGGTAACTAAACTGGATCTTCCTAGTGTGTATGTGTGTATACAATAACAAGAGTAGACATAGTTGGTAAAAAACTAAAACAATTGATTCCATATATTCAATGAACAAATATTTAGTAAACATGCTTAATTAAGATGTGGTTTCTTGTGTATAAAAGACTTTTACATTTATAGCTTCCTTTCTTTTGTAGTTAAAAACATTCTTGAAGTTCATTAGTTTCTATAAATAACACCTTTAATTTATTGAAAAAATAACTTTAAGTGTTTTGATGGATTTTTGTCATTTAAACAAAATAAAAAAGGCCTTTTATTTTACATTTTAATTTGGTGTACTATAAGTATAAAAAGTTTAAAAAACCCACTCTTTTAAAGTCTTCCTCAAATTTATATGCTCCTCCACCTGTTGCACAAACTGTACTAGCCAATGTGGCTATTCCTTTCGATTTGGCCAACTCCAGAAACACTCTCATCTCACTGGTAGGGAAACGGATAAAGTGCAAGGTACCAACGTGTCCTTGAATTTCTACATTATCCATCTGTGGAAAAACAAATAGATGAGAGACACATTAAACTCAAGAATATTTAATTTCTGTTTGGAAATAATGAAACATTTGTGCATCAATCATTCACAATAGTTCATATTATTGGTACGTATACAAGTAGAAATTAATTGTAAGAAAAATAAAAACAGTGAATTTTTTTTTCATTACTAACTTCAGAATAAAATAATAAATATTTGTGTAAAAACAATTATATGTTAAGTCTTAAAGAATAACCAAAAAAAGATGTTCATAAGTACAAGGCAGTTCTAAATCATGCACCTTTATAGCTTCTGTGAAATAAAGCTAAAGATACAAGTACAGCTTAGTAACTGTGATACATGCCAGATGATTTTTTACTTAATAATGTGAACATTTTTCTTCTTCACAAAAAAAAATTTAAGCACTTTCTACAATATATATATATATATATATATATATATTATTGGATGTTTTGTTGTTTGTAGTAAAGCATAAAGGTACACAATGGGCTATCTCCGCTCCCCATGGGTATCGAAACCTGGTTTCTAGCATTTTAAGTCTGCAGATTTACTGTTGTGCCACTATTGTATGTTAACATAAGTGTGTATATTTATGTAGTTACATGCTACATTATATGCTGATAATATTAGTGTGACTTGATTTTTCTTTTGTTTTCATTAGCAATGAAGGGACTATTCTAATGTATGCTTAACATAGTAAGAGATATTTTGCACCAGTAATTTTTGAGATGTGCTGATTGTAATTTTATGATTTGAAATTGTATCAATCATTCCATGCATTTAAATTTGTAAGAAATACATTTCTTATTTGGTGTTTTTCAGCAAATTTTTCATTTTTGTTAAAAATTATTTTTTGACTGTACCACAATTGTAATCATTATTAAAAGTTTTCTTTCAGTGTTTTCCCTTGAATCTCTGTTAAAGGGTTTATATTTTGTGTTAAACTACTTCAGTGAAAGTACTTTATTATCAATGTATATCAGTACACTTGGCATCAAAAATACTTAATAAATCAAATTTTTATATTATATATGATTTAATTTCTTAGTTTAAAAAGAAATTACTCAATAATCACTCTTGTATGTTCGTGCCATAAGTTTTCAAATTATATTTTATTACATCTGCCATACAATGTCAATAGTGCTTACCCAATTAACAACTCAAGCTTCATGTACTAATAAGCTAGAATATAAAATAAATTTTAATTTCTTAATGTCAAAAGGAAATATTTAATACCTAAAGTTATAATTTTCCTATATTGAAAATGTATTTCTGATAGGTACTTATCTACTCTCACATAAATAGCTATTCTCAGTCAGTGCTGTCCTCTATATGCAAAAGATTTTTTGCATATGCCACAAGCCTTCAAACTTCCACCCATCTGGAATTGACTAATTCCAATGCATCTCGCATGCAAATTATCATGCGACAACCTTTCACACTCTTGATGCATGTGACTCCCTCTATTGAATTCTACTGAACTATCACTTCGAATACTGACAGAAAATGGAAGCACCAGTTTACAGTGGAGAGGAAGGGTAGGAAGTAAGTACCAATCAGAAATACATTTTCAGTATATGAAAATTATAACTTCTGATACGGTACATTACCTCCACTCACATAAATAGCTAGAATCACAATTTAATAGGTGGAGGGACCAGTGCAAAGGAAAGAAAGAAGCATCCTTCAAAAGCATCAGAAAGACACTCTCCAAAAGAAGATCTCTGGAGTTGAAGATCATACGTGGGAGACCGCACCACTTCTGAACCAGGTACACTTTTTGCCCATTGTGGAAAGATGTTGCATATATGGGCAGAAAGATGGAGGAGCACATCCAAATGGGAGAGAACCATGGCAGGATAGTGATCCAAGCTAAATTCTGGACAACATAAAAGTGGGTGAGATTAAAGGATGTGCCTTTAGGTGTAGAGTGGCTAGGGCATGATGGACCGTAAAAGGCAAGTCAACTGCATTCAAAACCCATGCCACTAGGAACGGATATCCACGCTGGTAGGATGATGACCATACCATTGGTAAGTCAACTACAATCCAACACCCAGTTACTGGGTACCAACCATCTGGTGGGGGGAGGGGGTGTAGAAAAGAGGATCATATCATCTTCACCTCAATTTCACAAGACCGGAGGGAATCTCATACCCCCCCCCCCAACCCTATGTACAGCCACATGATAACAAAGTGAGTAATTGAATGATCGATCCGGGAACCTGACATCTGGGGTCTTAAAAGATGTCTGTGTAATGTAAACCATCTCACTCAAATATATAATGACCAGAATCTCCCCATGCACAGTAACATCCTCAAAGTAATAAGTATCAAGGGGTAGTGGAAGGGGAAGAACCACAGTAATCTGGAAGTATCTCCACCATGACCCACAACATGGATGGAGTAACAAGAGTATAAAGAAGTGAGGGACTAGAGACATCTGTGATCTGTGTGTGATATATCTCTAAATCCAAAACCCACCCACTGAAAACTGACATCCATCAAGCCAAAACATCTGAGAAAACAAGAGCAGGGCTGGCCAGAAAAGACCTGAACTGGAGTGACATGGATGCATAAAAATTTGGGGAAGAAGACTGATGGAATGAGAAAAAAACTAATGTAAACCTGTCTAACTTAATGACAGTCAGAGCAAGTGGAAGATGAACCAGAGACCAAAAACAAAAGAGGTAACTAACTGGGAAGTGATAAAAGATTCAAAACTTCATATGGAGGAGTACCCAACAGGAGGCAGAGCCACCAAACATTAGGAGGATCAAGAAGTCACTCTTTGGGAGAAAGTGTGTAAGGACTGGAAAGTCAATTAGCAATGAGGACAAAGCACCTGAAACACTTCCTTCCAGGAGACATATGTGAAGTGTGTGGGTTCAAAAAAAGGAAATCCACTGTTTATCTAAGAGGGAACAAGAAGGAGTGTCCTCTTGGCAAGTGGTATAAGCCACCACCATCAAAAAGTCGAAATGAAACAGGATTGGTCAAACTGGACAAGAGAAATAGTGTGAAGTAAAACACCTATGACTGGCAGAAGTGCCCAGGTGTTGAGGGGATAAGACCTTTCGACTATAGAACATTATCCGGAAGTCTCATACTGATAGAACCACACCCCTCACCTTTGGAGATGAGCATCAAGGAAGAGAAACAATCCAGAAGAGGGGAAGTGGTAAACCCAACATTGTGGAGGATATGTTCAATTATCAATACCTATAGACGATGAGGGAAGGATAAAAATTGAGAAAACCCAAAGTAAAGGACTGGATAACAGAAAACACCTTCTATTTCATATGAGGAGGACAAAGGATAGTCCTGATGGAGACTAGAATATGAGATATGTCACAGGAAACTAATCCAACTACCCAAGAAATGTGGAAGGAGTAGAAGTGTTTGCTAAGACTGCTCCTGTTTGGAAGGAGCTAACTGAGGTTAAACATCCAATGAATGGTTTTGGTAAAATACCCCAAATGTGGAAGTCGGGTAAAATGCAGACTGCCCCACATATGGCACCAAAACAAATCCAGAGGTCAAAGGAAGAAACTGGTACCCAATCATGCAGTGAAAAAAACCAAAGATAAGAACGTGTACTGTGGGCATTCTCAGCCACGCTGAAACAGTCTATTCAAAGGTGATCAAAAACTACATATTAAAACAGGGAAGACCCAAGAAGTGATTGAGGTGGGACTGATCAATTCAGAACCCCAATCAGCATCAAGGAAACAAGACAAATGAAGTATACTTGTAGGTAAGACAAGTAAAGGACAGGAAGGTGCTGAACATAAAAAACTGAATAAAGATTATAATATCTCAGAATGAAACAAAAGAGCAACTAAAAAGAACTGAATATAACATCACAGATACCCCATGCGATGCTAAATGTAAGAGAGTACACTCAAACAATGGACCAGTGGAGAAAAAGAACTTACATAAGACTCTATTAGCAGTGGATGGTAAACAAACAGCAGAGAATCCTAAAAGCAAAGAAGCCACATGTGGAGGGAATGAACTGAAGATGACAAACAACCAAATATGGAGGGAAGAAGGAGGAAGTATCCCATAAAAATCTCTAAATATAAGTGGAACACAGCAGAAAGGAGGTGGAAGGTAAACATGAACTGTAGGACTGTTGTTAGGGTAAAACAAAGCTAGAAAAACTAGGGAGGAGATAAAATGGATAGGATTAACATTGATGCAAATGAAATAAAATCGGGAAGAAAATCTGCCTTATGGTAAGCTAAGGCAAAAAGAATTAAAGCCTGTATAGGGTGAGGCTTGCAATACCCACTCTCAAAAGAGAGAGAAAAAGATCATCATGAAACAATGTCATGAGAAAGGGAATATACTGTGAAACTTGTCTAAAAAACAACAGAGATAGGCTTAACAGATTCTGCAGTAGAGGTCTGGAAGGAAATTCATGATAATATGGAGGAAAACTGACAAAATTTAGGTCATCTGAAAATAGGTTCAGCCATTATAGGAGGAAGGCAAACAATATTCGGAGCAGGTAGGGTGGACCTTGGCCCCTAGGGGCCCTCTCAAATGAAATTAATGGTAAGAAGTATAAACTATAAAGAAAGACAAAAATGAAATAGTAGATATAGTGGAAATGTTAAAAAATTGTGTAGCAAAATAAATATATGTTTGTGATGTTATGTGTTGAGTAAAAGATATTTAACGTAATTATTGATTAACTTGGAAGTATAACTACAGGTAAACCGAAAATAACAAACACATGTGAAGCCTATTCAAACAGTACACAACAAAGTATATTACTGAGCACTAAAATAAAAAATAAAATTGGGAGAAGTTTGTGTGGACCCCAGCTCAAGGGTTTCAAACAAACAAAATGAATAGGAAGAGGGATAAAAGATAAAGAATAACGAAAATGAAATACATGTGATTGTATAAAATTAAGAAAGTGTGTTGTAACAATAATATATGTATGAGACATGATGTATCGAAGAAAAAACAATATAAACTAATGATTGATATACCATGAATAATATAATAAGATGAATTGCAGGTAATCCTTAAATAACAAAGACCATGGTAAGCCTAAGTGAATGGTATAGGAGAAAAGATACAACTAAGACCTGAACTTGACTATGAATATTAACCAATCATTATGTTATGGAACCTAAATAAGTACAGGTAATAATAATATTAACAATAAAATTATTCAAAAAACATAACAGTGGAACATCTTTCAAATGTGTGAGCCCCCAAACTCAAGGCGAGGCCTGAAGAAAGTCAGTTCATTGGATGATCAATCTCCCGACGAAGTAAAACCGAAAATCTTCCCGCAGAGTACCATGACCTGAAGCCTATGTAAATGCAAAATGAATAACCAAACACAACTGTTTTGCAGAATCAAATAAAAAGTTTTTGTAAGGAAGTAATAAGTTCCATAACCAGGTAGAAATATAAAATAATTCCACTTCGGAATAACTCAACAAGTTACAAATATCATTAATGTACAATAAAGAGTAAACTTGTTGAGAGAAATAAATACAAAGAAGCGGAAAAAAAACACTTGAAGAGAGCACAACCTAAACATCATAACACGAGTATAGCCAAATGAGAAGTGATAATTCGGTAGAATTGAATAGAGGGAGTCACATGCATCAAGAGATTGTGTTGTGCTCTTATTGTTGGAGGGTTGTCACATGATAATTTGCATGTGAGACGCATTGAAATTAGTCATTTCCAGATGGGTGGGAGTTTCAAGGCCTGTGGTATGCACAAAAATGTTTTGTTTACAAATAGAGAACAGCACTGAACGAGAATAGCTATTTATGTAAGAAGAGGTAATGTACCATATCAGAATCTTCAGCTCTCTGCATCACATTACACATCTGCACACCAAATTACCCATTTATAATTTTTCCTTCTAAGCAAAGCCACATTGGGCTACCTGCTGGGTTCCCCTGCAGGGAACCAAACTCCATATTCTAGAAGTGTAAGTCTTTAAATTTTCTGCTGTTCCACCAGCATACTTCAGAATTTAGAACAAATTACTTACATGATAGACACTGCTAAGCAATAATCTAAGTTTCTTCCAAGATTATTGCGTAAATGATATATAACTAAGAGCTTCTCATGCTATGGCTTGCTAGAAAGAGTGTAATGACTCACACCATGATTTATTGTCCAGTGGGAATTACTGCTCCATATGGCAAAATAAAAACAAAACCAAAATCATGTTAAGTAAAAAGTAAAAGATAAACTGTGAAAATTAGTAATTTGTACCTTCATGGTCAATACTGAAAAGGAAAAAAAACTGTGTTACTCAAAATCTATTTATGAAAAATGACCTGGTAAATTCTCAGATGAATCTTTAGTAGAAATACTTTATAAAAAATCTGATTTTTTGTGTACAACATACTTTTCACATTTACTAAGAGACTGCCAAATTTCATGAAGATACACTAGGTAAACTTGAAATCAGACTAACTGTTTATTGTCCAGTACATAATAAGTCCAATGGACTAAGCCAGGGTTTGTAGAATTAAAGGGTATTTTTGTCAATTATGGAATGGTTTTCTTTGTTTTAGGATTGTGATGTCTATATGATATTTAAATGTTTTCAGGGTCAAGAAAAAAGTTAAGGCACTACTCAACCAGAGTGCAAGTTTATTTGTTTTAGGATCAAATTAATTGTCATTTGAGGACAAGCCTGAGGTGGGAAAGAGAAGAAAGGGTAGTATATGAGTATACCATGTGTTTCTATCTTGTAATATTATTGTATATATTCTAAGTTGAATGTTAATTTTCTGTATATGTGCATGTTTCACATAACATATGGTTAACAAGGATGTTAAGATGATTTTATTCTTGCTAATATTGTTTCTTTGTTATTCTCAAATGAATAATACCTTCTCTGCCCAGGGTGGAATTTGTTACAATACTGCATGTTGTGCAAGTCTGTTGTTAGCAATTTCATTTAATGGTTATTCAGAAGATATTTAGAGATTATTGCCTCTCCTCCACTGCAATGAGAATGACCAGTCATGCTAGTCATTCTGGGAAAATAGGATGTTTTTTGCAGACCAAGGAACATTTGATTTAGATACTTTGAAACAACACCCTGAAAGAGAAGCAGCATCATGAATCCAGTAAAAGTGATGGTCCCGTGTAAGGAAAAGCAGATGCACACATTGTGTTTGTGAATAATGATATAATAAAGACTGTTCATTTTACATTTCACTTTATGTTCAAACTCACTATTCCATTTAAAATCATTGTGTTTTTGAATAACGATATATTAAAGATTGTTCATTTTACATTGCACTTTATGTTCAAACTCACTATTCCATTTAGAATCATTGTGCTTGTGAATAATGATATAATAAAGATTGTTCATTTTACATTGCACTTTATGTTCAAACTCACTATTCCATTTAAAGTCATGAGTCAGTGTTATATATACACAACTGTTCATTTTAAGTTTAATATGAGAGTATTATTTAGTTCATATTGTGCAAGCATTAAAGTTATTTTTAGAAGTGATAGTTATGGCAAGTTTGCTTACATAATTGTTTATGAATCATTTGTTGCACTGTTCAGTTGTTGTCAGTTGATGTCATGTTACTCGAACCTTCCAAATTTTTCTTGTTGCTTTAAGTGAGTATTGTTACATCATAACATCTCGTAGTTTATAAAAAGTTCTAGGCCTCGGGCTGGCAAGATATATATATATATATAGGTGACCAAGTTAGTAAAAGTAAGTAATTTAGTGAAAGTAAAATGAAGAAATTGAAGATAGATGACATGATTGTGAGTTTAGCCAAAAAAAAGAGACAATTATTTAAAGATCTGAATACAACTATGACAAACAATAGTGTAACAAATTTATGTACATACATTTGACTTGTTTTGAATATACTAGTGTAAAACAAGTGGATTGTGTGCTGTCCATTTATTGTTGAAATCTATCATTAACAAATCACAGACATCTACCATAAAGAATCAAGCCCTATAAAACCTAACACTCAGTTAACATGAAATTTATCATTACTTCAGGTTTGATATTTTGACTGATTCTCCAATTATTAAGCAGACCTATGTGATATCTTGAAGGTTGTTGCAGTTCCCCTTGATATACCACAAAATGGATAGGTAGGAGAAAATGTTGGCTAACATCAAATAAACTTACTATAGACCGTTAGTTGCCCAGTTGCACAGATTAAACTTGACTACAATCTACTTACATTGTAAGTAAGTATGTGACTCTCGTGAAAGTTCTTTACAAAAATGAAACAAGTTGATGAAAAATTTTTAATTTGACTCGAACGGTCCTAAGATTATGTAGTTTTAGATAAATAAAATATTTAACTTTGATTTTTTCTACTATTTATAATAAAACATTCATTATTTACTGTAGTTATTTGCACTCACACTCTGAATAGTTCCCATGCAATGTGATATTCATTTTGAGTATAAAATACTATTTCTTATCTCACAGTTTTCACATTTCATTTGCATAATCTCTAGAACCTCCTAAATGAATATCAAAATTTTTTTAAGGTAAATGTTTATATTTTGTTTTCCATTTTCTCTATTATATCATTAACTCCAGATATCATCATCAATGTACAGTGCAATCAAATGTTTAAAATTAAGAAATGGAAGAATGTAGATACCTTTTAAATTTTCGTAGAATAGTTTTCAAACTTCTTTTTGTCATATTCATAATTTCATGTCTTTATCTTTTCACATGTAGGTTATTTCTAATTTTCTGTTTTAATTCTTTGTCTTTCATTCATTATCCCCAGATCAACAACATGTCCCACGCAGTGCTCTCTTGTTATTATAGGGTGAGTCTCATGCACAAATTCCAAACATGCTCGCACATGCGAATGATGCCATCTTGCTTAGACATTTTGGTAAGCCAAACTACATCAATTTAAATGTATAAAAATCATAAACATTTCAAATATGCATTTTAAAACACAAATAATACATAATTAATTAAGATATAAATGTAAAACCTAAATGCAATCTAACTATTTAGCAAACTAATACATATAAGAATGTTGAATGGCATGTTTATAACCAATAGAAAGAAGAGATTTCACACTATTCAGTTATAGCTTGAAGAAACCTCAACCTGTGTATGGATCTGTTGTTTGAAATAGTAAATAAGCTTAGTCCATTGTTCTCTTGTGGGATATGTAATGTTTGGCAAGTATTTCTTGCCAAGGTTGAGGTTTCTTGACAACAAAGCTTTGACTTTGCAAGTGGGCGTGGCTTACCTTAAACTTAGAATGTTGTTTCACACGGGGAGAAATTCTTGGAAGTTTCCCCCAGTTAATGAGAGACAGCTGGAACTGTACTTTAACTGTCTATGCTGACAGTCTATATTAGTTACTCATAGTTTCTTGTGTAAGACCTCTTAAACTTGAGAATTTTAGCTACAGTGGATCACATGACGGCAAAAACTGCAGTTTTAATTGCTGTTTCAGATTTTTCTTTTTAAAATAAAGGAATAAAACTTAGATAATATAAAACCTTAAATTATACCATACTTTATAATAGTAATTTAATTAAAATAAGTTTATAGAAAAGAGATTTAATTCAATTTTGAACTTAACTCGGTAAAATCTCATGACATACGTATAAAGGGGTTTAAAGGTTGAGCGTGGTCAAAGGGATAAGCTCTGCAGTACATCCATTCCAATATGCAGGTGCCAGAAATAAGGTTGGTAATAAGTACCTTCATTTTGTAACTGAAACCTCCTAATAGTAGTAGGATCATGACCTCTCCAATTGTATCTTTTAGCTCCATTTACCAGAATGAAGTTTGTGCTGACTAGGCAAGTAATAGCTTTCCTCAGAATCCATGATACACTATGTGATATACCAGTGTTCTGGCCACTTGTGTATCAATCAGATACTCTATTTGTCATCCTTGTACTCCATGATTCCTCTACTTTCACAGAGCTGCTGTTGGCTCTTCTACTACATCACCAGTTAAAGTACCTACTTCACTCCTCCCTTCCTGGAACAAAGTTCTGATGGAGGCAACACTAGCATAAGCTTCAGCATATAAGTCACTAGAGAACTGGGAAAATTAAAAAGATCCAGGAAGAACCAAGGATTGGCTTGATAACAATAGCACAGTGCAATTGGAATGCCAAATAAGGTTAATAAAAGATAAACTTTATTACAGCTATGAGACATCATATAGAGAATGACTATCTTGTATTTGATATGTTGAATTTTAAGTAATATGTCATATGGGAAAGGCTCCTGCAGAAGAGCCATCAGCTATCAAGTGTCATTCTCTGTACCCTTCCATCAAGCATCACTCTCTGATGAAGAATCAGCACAGAGGGTGGAATTTTATCTAGGTAAGACATGGAAGTATATGAAACATGCAAGAATCCCAACTGGACAGATCCATTCAGAAATATAGCCTCATACTATAAAGAAGAGACTGTAAATTTGTGGTAATCAACTGATTCCTCAACCCCAGAATGATCCTGTAATTGCTAAAAGAGGCTTTGGGTAGTATACTTATACCTGGGGACCTTAAACAATATAAGTGTGAATCAAAACTCGTAACTAAATAGGTAATAGAAATAAAGTCTCCTGCCTGGGATTCCATCTGGCTTCAGGAATCACAACCAGAGGCAAAAGAAATCCTAAAGCTGAAGAGACAGCAATGTGTTGTAAACAAAATTTAAATAACCTATTCTGAATTGTTCAAATAGTAGCCTGTAGAATATCCTCTAAAGGGTAGTGTGATCAAGACACCAAAGACATTGCCAAATGATGATTTAGTGATATATAACAAAAATTCACTTTTAAGGTATTCAGTAACATCATGATTAACAATATTTTAGAAGCAGACTGCATAAGATATCCAAAGAAGTTGTAGAATTTCTGATATTCATGTACAATCTTTTGAATCAGAATTCATATTAAAGGAAGTTAACAGCACAATTGGTAACAAGGAAATCTGGATTATGTTGGGGAACCAACACTTCTGCGTGTTTTGCTCATGTGAGTATAATTATTCATGTGAAAGCTGGAAGAGTAAATAAGTTTGGGTGCATTGATATAACTTTGGCACTGTGTCAAGGACATTCAGAATTTAAAGTTGGATGGTTGTTGGCAGTATGAGAGCAACTTAACAAGACAATGCTTTTATTATTCCAGACACAAGTCTATCTGATTTGACTCTTTGTCTTTGTTCTTTATCAAATCTTGTATGCCGTAATGATTATTCTACATCATTCTTGATCCACTGAACAATCTGGAACAAATTATTTCATCATCTGTGAATGTTTCATCTTGGCTTTATTTTAGTTTTACAAAAATAATCCCACTTCTGACAACTCTCTTGTCAGGGTTTCTACTATTGTATGGTTTTTTGTATTATTCAATAAAAAAAAGAATGAAAAGTCCAGTCAACTAAACATAAAGTTAGCTTACCTACTGTTACCGAAAGGCTTAAGTTCAAAGTAGACACTAATACAACAATTTCAACTACATGCTAATATCTTGTACTCTATAAAATGTACAAAATATCTATTAACAGTCTCTAAAAATACAAAGATAATATTTCGAAACTGAACTCTCTAACAAAACTCAATGAAATAATAACCCACTACTTCAGACTCAATGTAACTTACGAATAAACTCAAATATCAATAATCATCTACTTTAGCCTAACTTGTGTCTTATACTGCTCAAACTACTATAAAAGTTTGAAAAGTTTGTTAAGCACACCCATCATATTATGTCAAACAACCTTCTGGTCAATCAACAATGCAAACCTCTAGAAATATCTAGATAAAAAGCATAGCCAACTACAATAGACAGTAAGAGCAACAGTCAATATCCCCTATTTGTTTGTAAATATTAGTCCAAGTAGCTCTTGTCCAGTCCAGTTCAAAATTCAGAGGACAGCTTACAGCAGTGGATGATTTGTTACAAACAAAACAATAGCAAGTGATACACAGACAAATGAAATTACATCTTGTTCATTTTCTTGTCCTTTTAAAAAAAAGCATATAAGTTCTCTGAAATAAGCTCCCTCTTGTGATTTTCCTTGGAGTTTCTTAGTTTCTTTAAGGTTTACAGGAATGCTATATATAAAATGTAGGTATGCATGTATTATTTTGGTGCACTTTCTTTCATTATTTACTCACTTATAGGAACATCTATTATTTTTATTATTATCTATACATTTCAAAATAGCATTAATTTACTAGTTTCTTTTTATTATTATGCAGTTAAAGTGGCTTGCTTTGAACACTGAAGTCAAAGATAGCTTTAGCAAACAATTAATTTTCAGTAAGTAGCATCTACATGTTTAACCAATAAGGTGGTTGATATGCTGCAATATGGTTTTGTAGAGCACTTCTTAACCATCTGTTTAACATTGGTTGATAATTTTGCTTTGATGTACAACAAATGCATGCATTTCTCAGTAGCCTCAAAATTGATTAAACATTATATAGTTTCACTTAAGTAACCTGAAATGAATAATTATTTTAATATAGTTTTATATCATAAGACAAAATTCCTATAATGTAAAAACTACTTTATCTAAATACGGCCAGATGGCTAGAGATATGAAGTTAAGTTGTGATGTTTTATTCAAGTTTCAATATGTTTAAAACTTTTGATTTCACATAAAACAGAAAAAAATTGTTTTCTATAATGAATCAGTAATGCATTTTTTATTTGCATGACAAGAAAACAAAATACTTTCTTTATTGTGTATTGATTCTATTATTTTTCTGCAAACACATAAACATTGATTTTTGTAATACCTGCAAAAGTTATAATTTTCCTACACTGAAAATGTATTTCCAACAGGTACTTACTTCTGCTCACATACATAGCTACTCTTGTTCAGTGCTGCCCTCTATTTACAAACATTTGTTTACATGCCACAAGCCTTTCACTCCCATGCACCCCTCGATTCACATAGTTCAACTGATTCTTGCATGCAAGTTATCATGTGACAAACTTCCATCTATAGTGGTGCCACATACCCAAGTAACTCCCTCTATGCTATTCAATCTAACTATCACTTCAAGTTAAGGCAAAAACATAAGCACCAGTTGACAGTGGGGAGGAATTATAACTTCTGACAAGATACCTTACTTCTACTCACATACATAACTAGAATCCTACATTGAATAGATGGAGGGCCATTGCAAGGGAAAAAGTAGAAGCATCCAAATGAGGAAACTCTCTAATAAGAGGATTATACGTGGGAGACCACACCACTTCTGTACCAGTTATACTCTTCACCCAGATGTGGAAAAGGTGTGACAAATGTGGGCAGAAAATTGTGAGAAGAACATCCCCATTGGAGAGAAAATGTTTAGACAGTGATCCTAACCACAATATATTATAATTACAATCTCCCTGATGAACAGAATGTGGGTAAAATAAGGGAAGTGGCTATGGTGTGAAGGACAATACACAGCAAGTCAACTGCATCCAAAACTTGAACACAAGTAACCAACATCCATTAGGAGGTCGAACAAGGATCATACCATAGGTTAGTCAATTACAATCCAAAACTAAACTGCCGGGAACTGACATCCATGCAAAGGCTAGAAAGAAAATCATACTGTCTTCACCTCAAGTTCAGCCAACCGGAGGGAGAAATCCCACCACCAATCTATGAACAAGGCACATGTGAGCAGAGTGAAATAACATACATATGTATACCACTCAAATCAAACAGACTAGAACCACCTCAAATGTAGTAACATCCTTTGCATAAAAACATAAAGAGGTAGCACAAGAGGAAGAAGCAGAGCAACCAATAAATGCACCCACCATATGAGGAATCATGATGATTGGTTCACCTCTAAGTCCAAAACTCAACCTCAGGGAAGTGACATCCATGTGGGGGTAGGATGAGGGATCCCAATCGCATGATATGTGTGGGGACATATGGGGACTGGTTCAGCTCTGAATCCAAAACTCAAACGTCAGGAACTGACTTCCATGCAGGGGTAGGATGGGGATTCCACTCATTATGAAGGCAGTCTATTTGAAGGACATGTCGTCATCTACACCAACAGAACACCACCATCCTACTCTCAACTAAATGGAGTCTTTACTGTTTATATTGTATATCTCTCATTCAGGAGGATACCTCCATGGTCCACCACCCCAGTGGTTTGGAACTGGAAAGTGGTAAGGACTCTCTTACTCCACTGGAAGAAACGGGGGTAGGAGATGCAATTAAGAGTCTGGAGGAATGTTTACACTGGAGACAATGCAATGGGTGTCCACAAAACCCTATTTTGAAAAGCAGATGACCAAACCAGATTTATTCAATCTAGGGCATGGCAGGAATGGGCAGCAATCCCCTTCTGCTTTACCCATGAAGTCCAGATTGGGCATATTTATTAAGCATAGATATTGAGAGAAATAACCTATGAACGATCTTGTGGAACAAGCCACATATAGTTTATGTGATTGTAAAGAACAGTGTGCATTTTGTGGCCATGGAAGTTATGAAAGTGAAGTCAATATGGCCTTACAGTGTGAGTTTTAGTATATTTATAAGTGATTGAAATATAACTGGACAGGCACCAGTCATCACAAAGAGGGATTCTGGTCAAAACATGGGACAGGCCCCTGAAAAATAATATATATATAACAAAAGAAAGAAAACTTATGCAGTTACAGCCTCACTGAAGAGTAAAGGATGGCAACAGGTGGAACATGGTACCCCAATGAGGAAGAAACAGCTTACCAAAGCAGATAATGGGAGACGAACACATGAAGTGTAGTCCCAGTGCTCGACAGGTGAAGAAGGAGACAATGAATAAAAGGCTAATCGGAACACAAGTCAAATCCAATGAGAAAGGGAGGAAGAGAAAAAATTCACGAACAGTGGAGTGGTGCAAGGGAATGAAACTGTGGGAAGTGGAGTCAACAAAAAGAAGCCTTGAAAGCAATGAAGCAACCCAGAATATGTGCAGGACAGAAAAGGTCATCTGGATCCAATCGAGAATAAAAGTGGAAGATAGCAAGAAATGAAAATGACAAAAATAATATTCCACAAGAGCCCCCAAAGTGTAGGTTGGTAAAATCGATTTAGAACAAAAAGAACATACTGAGCCAAAACAGCTGAGAAAACCAGATCTGTGATGGCCAGGAAGGATCGATTAGAAAGACTTGACCAAGAATGACATGAATGATCAAAATCACCTTTGGAAGAGAAGTGATGGAATGAGAAAAACTAGAGTTTTAAACTGGATCTAATCCTGTCTGTATGTCTCGACAGCGAGGGCAAGTGGATGACAAACCAGAAACCAAAAACAAAAGAAGTAACTTGAAATCAAGAAAAGAGTAAAACACTTCCCAAGGAGAAGTACCCCACAGGAGGCAGAGCCACCAAAAATTGGGACTGGAAAACCAATCTGCAACATGACATGCCAGGAGATGTGTGTCAAGTGTGTAGGCTCAAAAAGGGAGATCTACTATCTATCACGAAGGGAACAAGAATGAGTGACCTCTTGGTGAGTGATATAAGCCATCACCATCGAAGAGTCGGAATGAAACATGATTAGTCAAATCTGGACAAGAGTAAGAAAGTGAACTAAAGCACATTGGACTGCCAAAAGTGCCAGTGTGTTAACATGGTAAAACCTTTTGTCCATAGACCATTGTCCTGAAGCCTCCTGCTGATTGACCCACACCCTCAACTTTAGAGATGAGCATCAGGGAAGAGAAACAAATCTGGATAGGGTGGAGGAATTGGTAAACCCAATAACATGGGAGTATGTTCAACCACCAATGCATATAGTCGAAGAGGGAAGGAGGAAAGTTAAGCTAGATGTCCATGTAAATGCATTAGTAAAATCCCCCAAAATGCTGAAGTTGGGTAAAATTCAGACCACCTGACAAAAGATATACGGAACTGTAACAAGTCTTAAGGGCAAGGCACAAAACTGGTACCAAATCACGTGGTGAAAAAAACCTAAGAAAGCATCTTGTGAAATGAAAAATAAGAACAAGTACCCTGGGCATTCTCAGTCCTGCAGAAATTGCCAGCTGGATTGTTATCAAAGACTAGATATTAAAACGGGCCAAAACCAAGAAATGATTGAGGTGGGACCAATGGATCCAGAACTCCAATCAGCATTGATCATACATGACGATTGGAGAAACCTATAGGTAGGAGATATAAAGGAAGTGAAGTTGCTGGACATGGAACATGAATAAAGATGGCAATGACTCAGAATGCAACAAAAGAGCAACCAAAGAAAATAGAATATAGCATTGCAGTTACCCCACGTGATGCTCAACATGCACAGAAGTAGGCAGAAATAAATAAATAGTAGAAAACAATTTGTAATGAAGTATTAAGTTCCATATCTGGGTAGAAAAATAAAATAATTCCACTTTGGAATAAGTTACAAATATCACAATTATATAATAAATAGTAATCTTGTTGAGAAAAATTGATACATAGAATGATAAAAAAAAAACACTTGAAGAGAGCACAATTAAATGTTTGAACACGAGCACAGCCAAATGAGAAGTGATAGAGGTAGTCACATGAGTCACGTTGGTGTGTGGCACAACTATTGGTGGAGGTTTGTTGCATGACAATTTGCATGTGAGAATCCGCTAAACCATGTGAATCAAGGTGTGTGTGTGGGAGTGAAAGGCTTGTGGCATGCAAAAAAATTTTGCAAATAGAAGGCAGCTCTGAACAAGAATAGTTATGTGTGTGAGTGGAAGTAAGTTACAATATCTGAAGTAAGAATTGTAATGTTTTGGTGCCTTGGTGCCAAAATTAAGTAGGAAATATAATTATCTTATCATTGCAGAGCAA